TGTGAGTGGTCAATTTTGTAGCTTCTGATTTATTTTACTAGTGGCTTATTATAGAATATATCTAAATTGTTACTTAAGTTTTAAGTCTTAAATCTTAAGAAATTAATCAATTACAGCCACATATGAGAAGAATAATCGATTATGATTGATCAATTTCTTATAGCTTAAGACTTAAAGCTTAGGTAATGGTTTATAGAAAGCCTACATATATTACAGAGACTACATATACAATAATTACAAATGCTAATATTCCTATCAATGTAATCCGGTTAAAATTAAGTTTTCTGATTCCACGAAAGTTGCAAGTACATCAACAAACATATGGGCAATGCAGACAAATTGCAATTGCAATTTACACTTGATGCAGACATTCGTTTTCGTTTAAAATTAATTTGACATCGCGACAAACGTTATCCAATTTTCATGATAGAAACAAGAATTTGTGATGTCGGATATAGTGAGGTATAAACAAATACCCAATAAAAAAGGAACATTTTGAACAATTTCAGCAATGTTAAAACATTGCTGCAATGTTGCAAGAATGTTTTAAAAGATTTCTTGCTGGGTAGGTGACAAGTAGAGCTTGAGGTTATACCGTTCCCCCCTTCATCATTATGGTAATTACTCCAGGAAATTTGGAGAGTGAAAGGTGAGAACCGTCGAGACAGATAGACAGAAGTTTGGAAAGAGAAAAAGAGAGATGCGCATCGTCGAAATGTGGATCGCGTGACGCGCGAAGCTCGCGGCGCGACGTGACCTTCATCGTCGCGATAGGCACATCGCCGATGGGTATCGCGCGTGAAAGCTTAAAGCGCGGGATCGCGAGAGTATGCCTTATCGCACCTTGAGATAATGGATCTCGCGTGGATGTCCACGCGGGGTTGTTATTGTTAAAATGCGGATCGTTTTGGCTGCAACGAAATGCATCGAAATAGTCATATGGCGAAGAGACGGAGAGAAAAGGAGAAAGAGGACGAGGAAGGGGGAAGAGGGAGAGAGAAAGAGAGAGAGAGGAGAGAAAGAGACACTTACCATTGTTGTGGCTGTGCAGCGACGGCCGGATTTGCGACGTCGCGTCCAATAGCGTCAACAAGAACAGACAATAGAACACCTTTAACTCGAGCATAATAACACCGCGGCTAATGCTGTTGCACTGCTGTCGCGTCCGTTGCTGTTGCCGTTGTTCGCTATTTTGTCTTTAGCGGACATGAGAATCCGCTTTCGGCCATACTCCAGTACTATCGAAGCGCGCGATATCGATTCCGCTGGCGCGTCGCGCCGCTGGACATATGAAGACATGAATCCGCGGTGGGCGGCACTAAGCACTAGAGATCCTCTAGATAGAGATCAGACAATGCAAACTATTCCGTGATTGGCTGAATTGGCTATATGGCTCTACCATGCGAAAGCGAATGTGAGAGAGAAATAAAAAAGAGGAAGCGTCGGTCTGCGTTTGTAATTAAGTCTGAACAGCATGTGATCTAAAGGCTTGGAAATAAAAGGCTCGCATAGAATGCTCGTAGTAATAAGTAATAAATAGTAAGTAATAAATAGTAATACCCCAATGAGACAGAAAAAAATGGCGGAAAAAGATCTAGCTCCGATTGGCTGCAGCAATTAAACATGCGCAAGGACACCTTAGGGGTATGGTCAACGCGATGTTGCAAATGCTTTAAAGTATTTTTTAATTGATCAATTTATAAAATTCTTTCTTCTAATTGGTCCATTAAACGCTTCAAAGCATTTGTAGCGAAACTTTGACCATAGCTTAGGTCTTCTTCGAAGAATTTTGAACTGAAGGCCTGTTTTTGTAGATAGAGAGAAACCTGAGAGAGGCCACGTCGGGTCTTCTTTCTTTTTCTATCGTCAAAATTATTCGTACACTACCGCCAATATATCCATTTTCAGTTTGGGAACTACGTGACTACATACATTTTCTGACACTATCGATAAAATTGTATCGTCGAAAGTAGATGTGGTTCGTTTCTGTACTAAATCCTCAGTACAGAAGCGTAGCGACTATCCATAGGATAGAATGGATAGTTTAATGGGTTCTTGAACAAATAAATTTTAATTTCGCATCTCCTATATATGTAAGTAAAAGTTGAATTTTAATAAACGAAATTGAAAATTCTTTTATTAATTAAGTGTGAATTTTGTTTTATAATATCTTGTAAAATTACAAAGTTACGTTTCTTTATATTCAAATTTTCAGCCCGTTTTTACCAAATATAATTTGGTTATTTATACTATAAGTTATAGCACATTTATACTATATTACTATAGTATAAATGTCTATCTTTTCTTTTAGAATAAACCGTGAATGATTCTGTCATTCACGTCTTACTCTAAAATAAAATAGTTATTTAGTATTTATTAGTTTAAATAACAGAACTTTTAATTATTTTTTATTTAATATTTTAAATAAGTTTTCGGAAACTATTTTATATTTTTTATTTTAAACAAGACGTATCAGTTTACCGATTCTTATAATTTTATATTTTAAATAAGTTCCTGGAACTTATTTTATATTTTTTATTTTAAATAATTTGTAACAGTAATTTTACCGAACCATGATTGGCATTATACGTGAGTTTAAAGAATTTCTGAAACACAGAATAAATTGTAATAATAATAGTGTCTTAAATTAATTTATTAACTGAAAAATTAAATAATGTTTAACAACATATTTATAATACTTTTAGCCAAAGCTAGTATTTAGCACAAATTGTTTCGATATTAAGAAAATTATCTTTATATATAAAGAACATACATATATAGAATATTTTCTCAACATTTATTTAAATATGAATCATTAAAAAGAATAATAAAAATTGAGACATAATGTTGGAATGTCAAAAATATCCCCATAATTATTAATTACGAATAATTATTAATTACATTTAAAAGAGTCATACAAGTAAAATAGGATTGAACAAATGCCAGAGATGGCAAAAGTATAAAGAGCGAAATGTACGACGATATCTATTTATCAAAATTATGTAAAATACGAATAATTAAAATACGATTAAATTGCGCGTGAATATTTTTCAAACGCGACATTTCGGTAACGGCGAACAGTAAGGGGGAGCGTCGGGCGAAGAGTGAGGGGGAGCGTGCCGCGCGGCGCGGTGGTTGACTACGTCATCACTTCGGCATTCGCTCGGCGATCGCGGAGGGAGGTGTACGTGTTTTACGAGTTGCTCCGGGTGTCGCATTAATTAATAGCAATTAAATATCTACGAATGCGAATTACATAAGATTGCCTAAGGAGTATACTAAGGATTAATTTAGGTTGTATTGCACGTTTTTTGTTTTATTTCTTAGATTCATTACTCACATACACAGCTCATGAATATTTTAAATATTTCATGCGTTCTCGGATATACGGTAACTAACAATAAAAATGAGATTCTTATTGTTAGATGCATACTATTCTATTTAGTCAAAATTGTTTTATAATTTAAAATAAATTTTTGCATTTATCTTCGTTTAAAAAAGGATGTATGATATATTATTAATCTTTATTTAATTGTACATCACAAAAAAGAGCAATCAAAATTGAGATATAATATTGGGATGTTAAAATCATTTCACGTGAGCAATTATGTAAGGAAAACTACGTTAATAAGAATCTCTTTTTACTTCTTGCCTTTTGTCAGCACATTGTAATTGATACGAAAAATTGATATTTAAAATTATAAAATAAAAAATCAAATGTTCCTCGATATCACAATTTAATTATGATATCACATTAAACGACTCGCGTCGCTAAAACTAGAAATAATTGTTTTATTAATCGAAGAACATTAAAAATGTGAAGAATATATTATTTTACTTATTCGTAACATTCGTTATTATTTCGGCAGTTAGACGGTTGGCGCGCGACCTTGTAGCGAGGATGGTACGGGGTGGCACGGAGCGGCGCGTCATGTTTACGCGTAGTTACCGCGGTGGTTGACTACGTCATCACTTTGGCATTCGCTCGGCGATCTCGGAGAGAAATGGACGTGCTTTACGAATCGCTCCGGGTGTCGCATCATTTTATGAAAATTAAATATCTACGAATTACAAGGTTGCTTAAAATTAAGGTATTCATTAAGGGTTAAGAAATAAGTTGGAAGAAGTTATAAATAATAAATTTTAAATAACTCTTTCATCTTTTTTATTAAAAATACATTTTAAGTATCTTTATTTCTTAAATATGACCAAGCTCCATATATTAATATATTAAAAACTTTGATTTTTTTTATATTATGTGAAATAAATTAATTCTTTTAAATGTAATTAATATAATTATTCGCGTGGAGTATTTTGATATTTTAACATTAAGTATGTCTCAATTTTCATACTTTTTAATGATTCATATTTAAATAAAGATTGATAAAATATTCTATATGTTCTTTGTATAAAAATATATGCAAATTTTCTTAATATCGTGAAACAATTTGCGCTAAATACACCTTTTAGCTAAAAGTACTAAATATCTTGTTAATCATTATTTAATTTTTTGATTAATAAATTAATTTAAGACACTATTACTGTTAAATTATTCTGTTTCAGAAATTCTTTAAACTTACGTATAATATCGAATAAAAAATAAATTTCAAAAACTTATTTAAAATATAAAATCGTAGGAATCGGTAAAGAATATATACGACTAGTTTAAAATAAAAAATACAAAATAATTTCCGGACTTATATAAAATATTAAATAAGAAATAAGTCAGAAATGTAATTATTTAAAATAATGAATACTAAATAACTATTTATTATTTTTAGAATAAGACTGAAAGACAGAATTTAATAATTCAAAAATAACAAAAAAAAACAGTAAGGCGTTAATCTTTTATTAAAAATACTATGTATACTGCGCGGATTTTATATAATATAAATTGTATTAATCGGAGAATATTAAAAATGTTAAGAATATATTATTTTGCTTGATAAATGCGTATTAACATTTCAACAGTTAGAACGGTTGGCGACCTTGGAGTGGGGATGGCACGGGGTGGCACGAAGCAGCGCGTCATGTTTACGTTTACATTTATCGAGCAATTACCTTACCAACATTCGTACAAGCAGGTAGTCATGTCGCATGCGACTCTTTCACATTACTTTTTGAAATATTATTGCGAAGAATGCCGAATATAATACAAAACGTTGTATTTTATGAATGATTAATCGTACTAGTAATCATATTATGTGAATATTCATAAAATATACAACATTTCGTATTATATCTAGCATTATTTGCAATTATTATATGTTAAAAAGAAATGTGAAGAAGAGCGACACGTGACGACTGCTTGACTGTACGAACAGTATCACACGAGTTATAAAAAAACACAACGTTAATATGAATAATATTCTTATACAAATAACGCAATTCCTGCTTTCAGAATTAATATAGTTTAATAATTTAATTATTTTTTTGACCTTCTGTTATACGATCCGTTTAAAAACGTAATTCTTTGAAATTATTATATCGATATAATAAAAGAAACATTTCTCTTTTTTATAAAATAGCCCATTTCATTGACTTTAATCATATCTTACAGACATCTATAAATAAAAGATTCAACCTTTTTAGCTGCTCTAAATTTATTTCGCAATGATAACGAATTGCAGACGTGTGTTTGATATTCGTTTGGAAAAGTTAACCGATTGCATAATATAGATAATAGCTATTACATTTTTCAGATTATCTTCCCTCTCACGGATACACTTTGACGTGGTGAGAGGGCTCAGTACCCCGAGGATATTTACACGAAAAGAATAGTTTTTCTCAATTATTTAAAAATTATGTTTGAATGTATATCTAAATAAATTTTTAGATATTGAATAAAATCATTCTTTTCGTGTAAAAATCCAACGGAGAAGCTAACGTATCCTCGTCGCCGATTTACTTGAAAATGAACGAACCGCAGCCGGTTCGTCGCGTCGCGCGTTTGTCCGGGAGTGCCGTTCAAGTTATCGGACTCAAGTTATAGTCCGCGCGCGTTTATATTGTTTATAATATTATTCGCGAGTGTTTTACGCGAGTGTCCAGTGCGAGAGGATGTCAACCCGATTCTGAGAGGAGGAGGAGATCTGGGAGAGACATCGGGCATCGGTGGAGCAACCTTGCGGTAAATATTATTTTTTACTTATGTAAAATTAACCTTTTTTGCTTGTTTTTAAATTATTGTTTTATTTGTCAATGATTCAAAAATGATTATTTTTAAATTATTGTTAAATAAAATGATTTAAATAATTATATATTCTGTAAAATAATTATATATTCTCTTCTTATATATTCTAAAGAGTAATTATACAATATATATTTTCTAAAATAGTTATATATATTTTTTAAAGAAGATCTTAGCAAAAATAAATGTATAAAATTTAAAAGTAATTTTTAAGTAACAACTCTTCTTTTATCCAATTTAGATAAAAGAATTACTTAAAATTTAGATAAATTGATTATATATATTCTCTAAAGATCTTAGCAAAAATTTTGTATAAAATTTTTAAGTAATTTAAATAATCCTTTAAAATTTGATACCAATTTATTTTTGCTAAGATCTTCTTTAGAGAATAAATGGGTACAAAATTCGATACTTACAAAAATTATATATTCAAAATTGCATGATTATTTTTCAGCAAACTGCATGCGTTCATATAGCAATTATTTTTTAAAATAATGATTATTTCTCTATTTTAATTTGGATTTTAATTTATTTGTTACAGAATCATCGTAGCGACATTGCAGATATAACTCCACTGTTGCGCCCCATCGGGTCGGTGAGTGATGAATTAACATTTTTATTAAGGTAACGGATGTATAATAATTTTATTAGTATATTATGTACATACCTGAATATACATGTATGCAGTTAATAATAATATATATGGAGTTAATAGCAATATATGGACATACATTACATGTTTAGCATTGCATCCGTTTCCTTGAACAAGTTAAAACTGATTAAGATAAATTTAGTTATGTATGCTTGATTCTCTGACAAGTTTTATAAATCCATTGAATTTCTAAAGATTAGCGTTAGAAAATAGAGAAATTTTAGAAAACTAAACTTGAAGAGGAAATTAAGCGAGATAATGTATGAACTTATAATAATAAGAGCATTGATTTCTTTATTCGCACAATTATAAATTTACGCTAAAATATTACTTAGAACCTATGTATAATAAAGCTAAATGATTGATACGTCGTATATCATACAAAAAGAATCATACAAAACAGTTGATTCTCACAGAAAAAAATCTCGGTGTGTAATCATTTCCACACATCTCTCTTTCTCTCTTTTTCATGAATTATTTACATGAATTATTACTTTAGCAGACAATTATAGAAATATAAATAAATTCTTCGATGTTTTCTGTACACGTCTCGAGAACGGCGGAAGTGCGCGTAAGATCGGCAGTTTTCTGCATGCGATTCCCGAATTACGAGCTATCGTACAGACACTTCATTGATAGTGATTCCGTTTCTATTGAAAATTGGTTCGGTCTCATAATGTCTGGATTTGCCGTACATTCTTCTTGAATAGTCGCCGTATCTGTCACGAATACGCATACCAATTTATATAATACGATATCAATTCTATTTATCTCTTATTTTATTTATTTAATAATTAGAAAATAAATTTCGCGCACAAAAAAAATGTTATTATATTAATGTCCAGTTGCCACTGGAAGTAATGATAATTTTCACTCATCAATACATCTGATTATGATAATCGTAAGATAGATGTATTCTTTTCTTTACAGTCATAATCATTAAAATATGCTAATTTTACGGTTATTACAATCATACTATAATTCTTATAACCAAAAAATATATTGATGGATGACTTTTAAGTCGTCACAACCGTAGCCGTTTTTTTCCATGTGTATACATTATATACCTTAATAAATTTTCGATTTGCTATCTATAATATATTTAATTTAAAATAGTTTTACGTAATTAACTCTTTGTGGACCGACGACTCCGTTTGTCACTCTTTTATTTCATAAATTGCTTGCTGAATTTTTGTGAAGCCTGTATTTTGGCCTGTAGGAATTTGATAAAGCTTTATTCGAATTGAGGTAAAAATTAAAAAATTCAAAATAGATTTAGTTAGTATGATGAACGGAATTTCAAAAAAGTAATTTGATTATCATAAAATTCGGATTTAGAAAGTTTTTAATTCCGAAGTAACATCAAGTTTTCAATTTCGCTTTAAATAGGATTTCCAAATTGACTTTCAAACTCTGATTTTGAACATTGTGACACTAGAGCCTCCTTCGTGGAGATATTGTCTTTTTAAAAATTTGATATTTTTAAGTTATATTCAAACTTAGAAATACCAAGAATCTTCTAAAATCAAGTGGCACAATAATCAGATGATTCTTTTGAAATTTAAATTTTAGAATTCTGAGATCAGAAACGAATTTAGTGTCCTCTTTAGAAAGCAAAGTCTTCATTAAATTATTTTATTAGAAAGCTCCGATCCTCAAAAGAGGATAACATTAGTTGATTTCATAAAGTTATTTAACGTGATAGATTCGAACATGAATGGAATAATTGCATTTTACATCATACTGTAAAAAAATTACATGTAAAATTACAACAATTATAATGGATAATTTTAGGATCTATTATTAAAAGTGTATCTTTATATAGATACATCTAAAATCACAATTCACAAATAACATTTTTTTTTTGTAGTAATTAAACAATTAGCAAAAGTATTATAGAGACTTTGATATATACTAGTAATTATATTTGGTAAAAACGAGTTGAAAATTTGTCACCACTTCGAAAATTTAGTGATGAATCTTGAGAATATCACTGATGAAGATTCAGTGATATATATCTTGAGAACATCACTGATGAATTGATGTTCTTCGGGTATCATGTCATCCTTATTTAACGTTCGGTTACAATAACAAGGATGGAATGATACCTGGGTGACATTCAGGTGGGAATCGGAACATAGTCACGAATAATCAGCATGCTTCTGTCCTGTGCATTTAGTACAGAGACGAACCACATCTATTTTTGATAATACGATTTTACCGATAGTGTCAGAAAATGTATAGTCATGTAGTTCTCAAACTGAAAATTGATGTACTGGCGGTAGTGTACGGGCGATTTCGCTTTTACACTTTTTACACTCAGCATCTTCGCTTTCTCTCTTTTCGGCGCTAAATATATATCAATTTCATTTTTAATATATTGTAAAAAGGATCAAAAAGTGTAAACAAGGTGAACAGATCTTGTTCCTGCACTAGACTGCACTAGAACTCTTTGACTCAGTTTCACAACTCATGGTTATGTCTCATCTTTTTTCAATTCTAAAATTGAAAAGAGATAATGAAAAAGTTAAGCCTCGGTTAAGAGTTAACCGTCAGTTATGAAACCTTTATCTCGCTTTCGACAAATATCAAACCTATATTTTTTTCATTTTAAGTACAATTAGTTAGAATATGAAACAAACTATAGCTATCTCATTTTAACTTACTGCATTAGTGTACTTCAGTTCACTGTGCAATAAGTTAAATTTATGGTGGAGTGCTCCAGTTTGAAACTTGGAAAAAGAACAGACCTATTGTCTACTTGCATTAATGATCGCATGTGGTCGTATTGTACTGAAGAATTGCAATTTGGACGCTAAAGGAAGATTTAATTTACAAAATCTTATACAATTTTATTAAAAAGAAAAGAAAAGTGATATATAAAACTAATACAAGAGTACTGGAATTGGAAATAGAGACGACCTTTTTACATGACCTGAAGGAGAAGTTAAAGACTTACTTAACCTCCTTTCGAAAGAAACTTAGAGGAAAAAAAAAGAATTGAATATTCCATTCATGTGATTATAAATTAATTATCGTAAATTATGACCAAGTTTTGTGTCCGAGTTTGATATTATTTTGCTCTGAATTACAAATATATTTTGTTACAAAATTTAAAATTGACATTTAAAAATGGGTAAACCATCTTATGGTAAGAACTTTAATAATTCGATATAAAAACGATGATTTAGTTCAATTTACGTAATTAGCATATTGTTTAGGGCAAAGAAGGGAAAAGGGGAAAAAGTTATCTTGGATGTATCGAAGGAAGGCTAAATTGAGAAGAGCAAAAAGTTCTGAAGTAAAAATAACGGATACTGCAAACATAAACGAACAGAATTCTCGAATAATTGTGAAGAATTTATCCTTTAAGGTATACACGTCTGAATATCTCATCCAACATCAAATAGAAAAATTTAATATATTTTAATTTTAGAAGGAAGAATTCCATCTACTAATGTTTTATTCTTTTCACATAAATTAATTTATTATATAATACTTATATTTTCTTAGGCAACGGAAGAAGATATAAGGAGATTTTATGAGCCATTTGGTGAAATTAAAGAAATAAACTTTTTGAAGCGTCCAGATGGAAATCTAGTGGGATGTTTCATAGACTTTAAACGAGTTGAAGATGCTTCAAAAGCGATATTTAATACGAATAAAAAAGAATTCCTTGGTATTTATAAAATTAGGCTTAAAAAAAATGATTTTGACATATACAAAACATGCATTGCTCATTTTAGGAAGGAACATAAGCACTAACTGGGCTATATCAAAACTCAAATTCTCTGAAAAACTTAAAAAAAGTCTTGCTGAAAATCAAGAAATTGATAAAGATGAAGGACCTTCTCAAGATACTCAAAAAGAAAATGATGACAGTGATAATACTCAGAAAAAGATCACAAAAGAGAAGAGTAACTTGAGAAAACAAAAGATAAGAAAATTACACAAGATGAGAAAACAAAAAAAACGAGCCAGAATTGTAATAAGAAATTTAGCTTTTCAGGTATTTGTTATGTATGATGAAAGAAATGTTTCTTTTTTAATACTTTTGGTAACATTTGAAAGCTTTCAATTTCTTCGTAGGTTACAGAAGTTAACTTGAAAGAACATTTTGCTCAATATGGCGAAATAGAGGAAATAAAGATTTTGACCAAACCTAATAGTAAACCAGCTGGAGTTGCATTCATACAATATAATATTGTACAAAATGCTGCAAAGGCTATACATTATGCAAATATGCTACCTCTTTTAAACAGACCTATGATAGTTGACTGGGCTGTTCCTAAAACAAAGTTTTTTCAAAACAATACAAATATGAAGGTAGAAGTCAAAACTGAACCTATTGACGAGGATGAAGTACATAATATTTCAGAAATAAATGCATCTTCCAACAGTAAAAATGACGTTAGTGATTCAGATGCTGAATCAGATAGGTATCTAAAGTTTGAACTGTGTTAGAATATAAATGGATATTATCAGGATTGGTAAACTTATAATGTTGTCAACATTACTTTTTTTCAGTAACAATGTTATATTTTTTTGTATAACAATAATGATTTCACTAGTTATTTTTATCATTACTTACTAATTAATTTCTAGCCAAAAATTAATTAGCTGCTGCGTTGACATATGTAAAGGTTGGTCGGTCATTGAGGACGGTCTTAATCTAAAGTTTGACTAAAATTTTATTTTTTTAATATACATTTATTCAGGTTTTGAATCTTAGTTTTTTACTAGAAGATAGAATTCTATTTATATTTATATATTAATTTTCTATTTATATTTACTGCAAAAATTTGTATATATTCTTATTAAAAAAAAGTAAGAAAAATAGTTACAATTCGTTAATTTTTGAATAATGACCACGAATTATTTTTTAGAAAAAATAATGGTAATGGTAACGAGTTATAAAGTAACTTTGCCAATCCTGGATATTATCTATATATTTCTTAAACTTTAGTTTATTTTAGTAAATTTTAGTTAGTTTATTTTAGTTTTCTCTAAATAATTTGTTTCTCTCTGTCTTTCCTTTTCAAAAATAGTTTTACAATTTCTAGAGAAGTTACAGTAGAAAGTATAAAAGAGGAGACTGAATCTGATGATGAGATAAAAATACACAAAGCAGAAGATACTGACGATGAAGATGAAAATGATGATAGTAATGATAATAATGATTCCAATATAATTGATAGATCTATTATTAAGGAAGAAGACATTGATCAAGAAGAGAAATATTCTATAAAACGTCCAAATCGAGTGTCTAATGATGTTAGTGAAGGAAAAACAATTTTTCTGAAGAATATACCATTCTCTGTAAAAAATGACGAACTTAAAAAGTGCATGGAGCAATTTGGACCTGTCTATTATGCTCTCGTGTGTATGGATCCTCTAACCGAATATTCTAGAGGCACTGCATTTGTTAAATTTCAAGTAAGAGTAGTTCATTCGGTAAATGTTGACAATTTATCTTTAAATGTATATTTTAAATCATTTAATTTAGTTTTATTTACCATTATTATAAGAAATATTTTATTATGTAGCGTGTTGAAGACGCCGAAAATTGTTTGTCAGCTGGAACTGAATTACGTTTACGTGACCAAATAATCGAAGCCCACAGAGCATTACGTAGAAATGAAGTTGAGGACAAAAAGAATTTAAAGGGAAAAAAGATTAAAGATTCTAGGAATTTATATCTTATCAAAGAAGGAGGTAATGATCTGATTGTAAAATATTATTATGCTATATAAAGTAATTTTAACATCATCGTTGTTGATTTTTAGTTGTGCTGGCCAAAAGTCCAGCCGCAGCAGAAGTGTCAGTATCCGATATGGAAAAACGTTTGAAATTAGAGCAATGGAAATCACAGATGTTACGTAACTTAAATATGTTTGTATCGAGAGTGCGACTGGCTGTTCATAATTTACCTTCCAATTTTGATAACGAAAAACTTAGACAGTTATTTAAAAATCACAGTGGTCCTAAGGCTATAATTAAAGAAGTAATTTTATTTAAAATATATAAGTATTACTTTTCTATTGACATTTAACATTATATAGGCATTAATTAATTTTATTTGCAATTTTTAAGGCGCGAGTTATGCGTGATTTGAAAAACGTTGATGCGACAGGGAAAGGAAAATCAAAAGAATATGGCTTTGTTACATTTACCTCTCATGAAGATGCACTTAAAGCTTTAAGAAGTATAAACAACAATCCAAATATATTTTCTAAAAGCAGAGTAAGATTATAATTTTATTTTTATTATTATTAATCATTTCGACCTTTCATACATTAGTTTATAAATTTGATATAGAGACCTATAGTTGGATTTTCGATAGAAAATCGTATCTTAGTGAATGCGAAAGAAAGAAGAATTCAAAAAAGTCGCGAGCACAATCCGTTGTGGTCTGGAAACAAAGATAAAAAGAAAAATGAAGACAAGGAAGAAGTTCCAACTAAACGAGTTAAAGTTAGAAAATTAAATGATCAAGAAGAAAAATCATATGCAGGCATGACTAGCAAATTAGGTCAGGATAAATTAAGGTCAAACTTTAATCTCAAGTCACAAGCCGAATTACATACGATGACCATAAAAAAGCAGAAAAAACTGAATAAAACGGCTAAGCAATTGAACATTGTAAAACAAGAAAAGATAAAGAAAAGACAAGACAACATGCCAGTAAGATATTAATTGTAGTTTTTATATTTCATTTAATTTAAATATATGACTAAAATAAATTTTTTGTAAATTTATTTTAGTTATATAGAATTTTCTGATTTATGGATTTTTTGGCTGCCTTTCAATATTCACTGTCAGTGCTAAAAATTTGTAGTATATATTACATTATAAATTTTCACCATTGACAGTGAATATCGGAACACCGATTTTATAACACTTATGTCATTTTTTTTTAGTTGAAAAAAGCGAAGACCTTTGATGCAGATGATGCAAATTTCAATAAGCTTCTAAATAATTATAGAAACAAATTAAAAGGAATTGATTTAAAAAAGTCGAAATGGTATGAATCCTCTGGATCTTAATATGAAGTAAGATAAAAAAAAATTAATAATATTTTGTATAATAACATGAACATTTAATTATGCAGCATACGTATATGTATTGTTATTTCTGTAATATACGTATATTTCTGTAATATACGTAAAAATGATTTTTACAAATTAGGAATTTTCTCTTTATTATTGATTATTTAATTCCTATTATCTTGACTCTTATTAAATCATTTTGTCAAAATAAAATAATTATGTCAGTACTTATAGATTTTTATTTATAAGACTTGTCTTAAATACAGTCTTAAGCTGTTACAATTTATAAGCCAATCGGAACCATATTAACAAATTAATTAATGGACTTTCTACAATAAGCCACTACTTAATTTTTAAGTTTTAAGTCGTAAAAAATTGACTATACAGTCGAATGTGAGAAGAAGAATTGATTATGATTGATCAATTTCTTACGGCTTAAGATTAAAGTTTGGATAACTGCTTATTGCAGAAAATCCATACAAGACATTGCTTAAGACGGTTTTAAAATAAAAATTATGAACATAGCCTATATGTATTTTATTTTTTCACTTTTCACAATATCGTATTTACAGATATGTATTACTATAATATTTCCTTTTCCTGTATTCGCTTTCTTACGAGCTCCACATTCTTATCTATGAGCAATATTCTATCTGAATATCAGATATGTACATATTATATATTTCATTCGCGAAGCAAATTAAGCATTTTATGATGGAAGAAGTCTATGGTGATGTCTCTTCCATCATGAGACAGTCTTAATTTCCCTTTCAAAAATATGAAACTTTTACTTGAATTTTTACTTGAATTTTTATTTTTTTTAAATAAGCACAGTTGATTAAAATATGCAATTAAAACTGAGTACATTTCTTTTTGTTGCGCTTTTGATAATACACCGCGAATGCGTTTTCGTGACATTATTAATAATTGATATAATAAATTATAATTGTGACGATCTATGGGAAAGTTACAACAACGTGCAGCGAGTAACATTTTTGCATCAGTTGCACGATAAAATAATGAATTGAGACAATAATAGTAGAATCACAGTTATCTATAGATACAATATTACATTCCTCTCTAAATCGCGATATGCTTATCTTTCGTATTTTCTGAGAGTACCGTAATCCTCAGAACATTGGCAACATGTTATTTATATTGCGGATGTGAATGAGTTCTCTCTTCTTCTCGCAAAATTCAGTTGAAGAATGTCCAATTCAACAATTCGCTATTCGCTCGCCGATGTTGCGAAATACAATGGCAAAAATGGAGCGAGAACTTGGATCGTCATCCACGACAACATTTACGATGTAACGGATTATATGCAACAGGTACATATATTATAAAATTGTATATTTTTCCCTAAATGCAATTAAATTTTTGTTTACATATTAAATTCTTTCAATATTCTATGCATAAAAAAGCATTAAAATAAGATTAGAAAATAAATATTTTGCATAATTTATATTTTATGTAAAAATATATTAAAATATAAGATATGAGATATTTTATGAATGATTAATTTCTTTATTACTTTATTTTAATGCTTTTATAAGAAAAAAAATTGAATTATGTAAAAAGAACTTAAAAATTTTAACTAAAAAAAAAATATCATTGATATCAAAATTGTACGTATGAAGAAAGAATATATGGGCGGGTGTCATTTTATATTTGACAGTCAAATTTATATTATATTGGAAATCCAATATTTGGAAATCGTGAAGATTTCAAGAAAAATATTTCAGACAAAAATTGTAGGGTTTTGAGGAGGAAAGAAAATATGATCTTGGTTGATCTTAAAATGTTCTTAAGATCAAATTCCTCAAGATTACATAAAATTTTTTAATGTAATCCTCTATAGAAATATTTTTTATCGCATTTCTAGTAGCTTATTCCAAGAGCTTTCCAAAACTGTAATAAGTAGGCCAACTACATTGTTTTCTCTGTGTATAAAATCTTAAAATCTTATCGAACGTTTGATCTTATTCTCTGTATAAAAATAACTTAATAAATTAGATTTAAATTAAGTACAGGGAGAAATATTATTTGCAGCATCCTGGTGGTCCAGAATTAATTGATGACTACGCAGGAAAAGACGCGACTAGCGGATTTGATGAATTCGGACATTCTTCAGATGCGACAAAGATGCTCAAAAAGTATTTGGTCGGTGAACTTGAAGATGTAAGCATTCATTAATTTTATGTCATGATCACAATTTAACAAATCGGAGTTCGTAATCGGAATCGTAAATAATATCCACGATTTTGTAATTTTCTTCCATGTTATTAGATCAGCTAGATAAAAACATTTGATTGTCTTTATCTCATATCTGACTATCTAATAGCATACGGCAGAGAATCCCGAAATCGTAGATATTACTTATAGGATTTGGTAACAGCTAACTCGATCATTATCGCTCTCAGATTCTCTCTCTGATATATCAGATTTTTCATTTTGTGGTATACACTGTCAAATATATTGTGCTCCCTCTCTAGTTTGAGTACTCTGTGAAGTATAAATACGAAAAAACAATTTGAAGCTGTATTTGTATTATTAAATATTTGAAAAACGCTTGTGCAATCAATTGTTAATACTTGTAATAAGTTGCTTAATTTGTATTAATTATCAATGTAACAATATGAACGTGTAATCATTTCAAAGTGGGTTTCCAAGCAGAACAACAAGTCATTATGATATCAAAATGATATTATAATGACTTCAAAATGATTATTAAAAGTCATTTTTCAATCATTTTCGATTCTTTTTAATATTATCGTAACTTGTTGTTCTGCTTGGATTGGATTAAGATAGGAATCATTCCGAATTTTTCCGCTATTCAGCCGATAAGCGAAAAAGTTATTTATTTTCACTATATAAAGATTAATAAAAATTTTGGATTTACAACGTGGAATAAAAAGGATACTTGTACCGGGAGCAATAGGTCTAGGAATGGTCGTGGTTGTTAGAAAATGTTTCTGCAATAACATATTTGAGTTCCTTCCACCATGGGTCATATTATGATACGCTGAATGTGACAATACCACAGTATATGATATATCACGTTACAGGAAGATAAAAGAGTTAATAGAATGAAGAAACGCGCTGCTAACGGAATAAAAATGAAAGGAGTGGATAAGCAAAAACAAAGGTATTCAATCAACAATATAAATATTTATACTATTAATCATAAAGCGAAAAAATGCTTATATCGTTTAATTTCACTAAATAACATACTGAATGGCACAAAAAACTTTATCTTTCCAAGAAGCAATTCTTCCGTAAGAGGAAAGAAGCATACAAATCTTATACATACATGTAGTAATATACAAATTTTTTAACGCAGAAAGAATTAATTTAATAGTAATAATGTAATAATGCAAGTTAACAGATAGAACACAAGCACTTCTCATTATTAATTTTGCTATTTTCATATTTTAGGCCTTTCTTAAAGTTGATCTGCGGCAAATGTACATGTTAAGGGACGCGTTGTAAATATCAATTGCATAAGTTATTTTAAATATATAATTATATTTATCACATGTCATTTATGTTACATTCGCTATCTAAATATAGCATCGTTTATGACGTGTATATGTTGTATTACTGATAAGAATCATCAAATTAAAAACCGTCTTATCGCTTGTACGTGACATTGCGGGCATATAAGAATGACCAAGGAAAACTGATAGAGCTAATTACATCCATCAATATGAGTCATCTACTTATCGTATTCATGAACACTGTACAGTCAATTTTTTACTCAACGGAATTTCCATTGTTACAAATAATCTAATCTTATTGAGAAGTTTTGTAATTTGAGAATTATTATTTTTTAAGTTAAAATTGACAAAGTTAATTAAATTAAACTTATTTAACAAAATTAAATATTAAATCTCATCCGACCGTACATGTAAGAACATAACCAATAGAAATAAAACTTTAACGGTAACTAGCTAGATCTTAAGTGCTTGTATAATGTGTGAATTATATGTAGTACGTATGTAGTCTTTTAACTGCGCGCCGAAATGATTTTACGGTCTTAAAACGCGAACTCACCGCAATAATATCATGAGTTAAATTATAATAATATTAGCAATTTAACAATTTGATCTTTTTTCGCATCTTAGAACGATCTTAATAATGCTGAATGACGTTAAAATCTGTAAATTTTACGTAACACGTAGCGCTTATTAATGTGAACACATCATTAATAGACGATTAAAATAAATACGGAGTTTTATAAAAGAAGATATATTTAAGTTTAATAAGCTATATATTTAAATATTTATATATTTAAATAAAAAAAATATATAAATAATTTTAAATAGATATTTATTTAAATAATAAGATAAACGATGCTTTCTAACAGAAGACATAGACGACACAGTGTAACACAGTGAATCATAGTATCTTTGTTGTTTGCCAATGTTAAACAAAGATGAAATGATTACTGTGTTACACTGTGTCTCTTGCTGGAAAGCACCAAAATGTTCAATTAAATCCAACCTCCTATTACTCGACCGGTCGCTTTTGACTTTCCTTGCAATTTTGTAGTTTGAACTGGTTCTTCAAGTTCTTCTTTCTTTTCTGTTATGTCAGATTCAACATATTTTTTCGTATAAATTTCCTTATCTACTTCCGTGGTCTTCTGTCCTGTGTTATCATTATTATTTTCCTTTGTATTTTTCGACTGTTGATGCTTATCATTTTCCGTCTCTTTTTCTTTTTGCTCGTCTAATGTTTCTCTTTCGCTCGTTACTTCATTTTCTTCTCGCTGTTGCTCTTGGACATTTTCCATTTCTTTGACATTTTTCTCTTCATTGAACGTAGCAGATGATATCGACTGTTTGCTTATTTCTTCTACGGAATCCTCGGGTATAGGTGATGGTGATTTAACTTCAGCTTTAGTAATAAGTCCTGCTTTGTTTACGCTACTGTTTGTAGATTTTAATAGACTTTTCTTAAACATTTCAATGGCCGGTCGTGGAACCACATTTGTAGAAGTTTCCCTTATCATAACTTTACTACTTCTTCGAGGAGTCTCCTCAGTTTCATTATCATTTGTTTCTGCGAATGAATAATATTTAAATAAAAAATTATAAAATTATAAGGTTCTTGGTCGATGAGAGGAAGCATTGGAAGGATTCAAAATTTAAAAAATCTCATACAATTATTTCAAAGTTAAATAGGAATTGTAAGAAAGTACATGTCAATTTGTTAAATTTTTGATGAGAAAGTTAATTTAAACTTGACAAAAAATTCATATATCGATAAAAGATTGATGCAAGATACTACATGGAATTTATTTCGATGTCTCTGTAAGTGAAGTTTAAATTGGAAACCAAAAAAAGAGTATTAGATAACATCAATGCTAAAGAATTTAAACATAAATGTACCACCACCATCGAGCTGCTCATCCGGTTTGTTCTTGCTTAGCATGAATTTGGCATAGGCTATTCTAGTAATCGGAGTGAAGTCCGAGAGATTCGGATTATAGTCGAGCAGCCGTTTCGGATCCATGGATGCTAGATCGGAATCCGGCTGGTGTTGCAGTTGGCGACGTAAACTACGCCGGGTTTGACGTTGCATCGCTTCATTTGTACTTCCGATAGGATCCATGGCGATGGTGCTTTGCCTTACTACGGCGTTCCAGTCCTTTTTACCGACTCCGCTTCCTTTCCGTCCAATCGCCTTTGCGATTTGACTGAACACGTCCTTTGGTTCTTTTTCGCTTTGAATGACAGCTTGTACGATGCCCTCCACAATACCGATTTGGAAATCTTTCTGAAGTCGGCGTTCCATCACTTTGCCTTTTTTTCCGGGTACTTTAAAAGTATAAAAAATTATATAATTATTTTATAAGTTCTTGCTTTTAAAATGCATTACTTTAAAATAGTATCCGCAATGATCTGTACATTTTGGGCCAATTTCGTAGACGCTTACTATCTAAACATTACCGTTTACCAAATTGATTTGGAGATCTACTCTCTAAATCTTTTGGAATGAAAATTGAGCTAAAAGAGTGAAAATTTTGAACGCAGAATGGCAGATTTTCATTCTTTTTTAGAATAAAATTTCACTCTTTCGGAATGAGATTCACACCAAAGGAATTATGGAATTTCATTCTTTTTTTGGAGTGAAACTTCATTTCTTTGAGTGAACTTTCATTCCAAAAGAGTGAAATCTTTTAGATGAATCATTCAAAGAGTTTGCGAATTCAGTGCTTCGGAAAATCGACGAGTAAATTCGAGCGAACTCGACGCGAAACAAGACAAATGTATGATCCGAGTGATCGAAAAGAACAGCTGATAGGGGCAAAATAATGATCTTCCTGATTTTCTACGAAGTAAAATACATTTATGATCGATTATTATATAAATGATAGGTTTATTACATGTAAATATACTGACTATTTGTTTCTTCTTTATCGAGCATTGGTGTGCACATTCCGTTTTTCCTAAGGATATCGATCAGATCATATCGAAAACTCGAAATGTCCTGGCGAATTTCCCTGACATCATCCTCCGTAATACCAAACTCATCTCGTTTCCTTTGCTCGGCCGTCACATAACGACGTATAAGTAGACGCACTACAGTGTCATGTCTAATCATAGCTTTCTCCCGAGACTTTTTCTGAAATAAAATAAATAATTTTGTTTTAACTTAATAACTGTTATCAATAGTAAAATGCGTCGAATAACTTCAATATTAATGAAAAAGGAGTTGTTTGATACGTATATCTTCTCACATTCTTTCAGTCAGTATGAATACAATTAAACGTAAAGACTCTCGAAATTGTCAATAAAATTGTCAATTTCTTAGAAGTCTTATTCTTCTATATATTATTTTAAATAAAAAGTTTGTTAAAATGCAATCCATTTAAAATTATCTGAAGAATACAATTTTGTTATTGTACTTTTTGTAATAGGATATAATTCGTCAAAAATTTCTTATTTATAATCGTTAAATATAAAATTATACGTACAAAAATGAATTGTAGTTTCAAATGAGTTTCGTAAATTTTTTTGAAAAATGCAAATTGAGCAAATGGAATTAATGAAAAGAACATTCTGTTATTTCGAAATATTTTAGTAGGTAAAAATTGTTTACTATAAAAGATCTTGTGGAACGATCACTGCCTCCACATTTGAATAGCTTTCGGAAAGTTTTATTTGTTGGAATCATATTAAATGGCGGTGGTACAATATCGCCATCCTCGAAATAACTCATCCATAAATGGCTCCTGGCAAATTTCCATTCTGTATCAGATCTTTCCTAAAAATATATAATTGATGTGAGATGTTAAACATCAATTTCAACAAAGAATATTGTATAAAAATTAAATAATTATAAAAATTACTATAAAAATTTATAATTTGAAAATTATTCAAAGAAAGACAAGAGATTTGTATGTTCAAATTAAATATAAATATAAAAGTTTAAACAAAAATCTATTTAAATAACTTGAAAGGAATATGCTCTCATTGAGAGAAATCTATTTTTTTCTGAAATAAATTCGCAAATTTCTTCTTCAATTTGTCCATACAGACACCTCTTGCCCTTCCTTGAATAATTTTTATATTTACTGACAAAATATCTTAAAAAAATTGACTGATTCTACCGAAATGATTTGATAAGAATTAGACATCATAGCAATCAGCATATTCAATAACACAATGATGTTTATCACGGAATAAGATCCAAACATGAGGAGCGCCCAGAATCGTGTAAAGCTCTTAATGCCTGTCAGGTCGAACGACATTAAATCAATCATGCCGAAACTTGCCCAAAAGAGAGATTGTGATGCCTCGAACAAGCTGAAAGCAGAAATCAAATTAAATCTCTCATCGGGAATCTCTATGAGTATTTTCGACCTTCGTACTTGGTAAATCTTCTCCATATGGAGCAGGCTTTCTCCTGATTATCGAAATCCGGCAGCTCGTCGGATACGTGATAGCATTTCCTTTTTTCTAAGTCAGCGTAATACCACATCAACTGATTCATGCCTAAAATAAAACATAAATTTAAGGCGTTGTCCTACTTTACATTTTTTCCGCTTTGCGATCGCACTGAAGATTACCTGTATTGTCTGAGAAGTAAAAGTGGGATGATTTTTTGATCAATACAAGACTTATGAATAACGAAACTTCGGTGAATGAATCGGAAAGATGCATTACTTACCGCAGCCAAAGGCGAATAGCACGAGGGTGTAGATGAAAAAGAACTTGATAATATCTATTATCATCCTCCCGAGGGAAATCTGGAGCGGCCCAAGATGAGGATTCACGCTGAATATATGGACAAGTTTTAGAAAGCTGAAATACATCCACGCGTGTGTTGAATATTAATCGATAAGAATTATTTCCCAAACGCGCGCGCGTTCACAGAAATTACCTAAATATCATTCCGGCTGCGAATGCTCCTTCTGAAAGCAGCATTGGATCGAATGCGTGCCATTTATCTCTTGGGTACCAAGGATCTAAACCATCCCAATATTCTCTCTACACAATTGGAAGATTTGTGTTAAATTTAACATTTTTTTTCACAAAAAACATTCTTATACATTCAAATTATTTTACAATCAATGTATGTCTTTATGGTAATTATTTCAATTCAATTAATTTTAGAATGCAGATATATGCAAAAAAACTTATACCTGTACTATCCACCAAGCCGTAATACGCATACTTATCCAGATTACATAAAATGTATTTTGAATGAAATCCACAATATTCCACAAATCTGACATATACTCAATTAACCCATCTGCCCATAAAGCTTTAATCTCGCCGATGATTAAACCTACAAATGCATTTGATTAAAAATGAAAAAAAGTAATTGCCAAAATAATTTATAACATCATTTTTCGACAAACTATAAATCATTTTTGTTATTAAGATAAATTAATTGTTTGTGTAAAAATTTCTATATATTTATTTAAATCTAAATAAATAATTTTTATAAAGTATTTCCTAACTTATATATTTTTCTCAAAAATTTTAGTAAATGAGATTTAGATTATCAAAGACTCCGCACTAATTGTATGGAAAATTTAGGTAAATTTGGTAAAATGGGTTCGTTTTCTAATATACTGTATAGCTTATAATAGAGCTTTCCAATTCGAGCACGATGTGTGTTTTATGTTATGAAATACTTCTTCCTTCTTTCTTCGATTAGATTTCTGACCTACAGAGGCGGATCACAGAATCGTAGTATGATTTGTCTCTTGAGGTCAGAAATCTAACGGG